AGTTGCAAAAAGATCACCCTATTAAGAACGTCCCATATACTTGGTAAAGTGCTATCAATTAACTGACAATTCTTCCTTAAGCCTAAGGACCATAATTTGGACCCAGGCCTTACAGGATACAAAGCAGAAACATACAAAATAATAATAATAATAATAATAATAATAATAAAATGTAAAACAAGTTAAAAAATAGATGCCCTCGTAAAAGCAAATTTATACATACTAAGAAAAGTGCTATCAATTAAATGACAATTCTCCTATGGGGGCTAAGGACAATAGTTTGGACCCGGCTCTACAGGATACAAAGCAGGAAACATACACAAATAATAATAATAATAATAATAATAATAATAATAATAATAATAATAATATATTTAAATTGAAATTTTTTTATTTTATTTATTGTTCTTTTCGAATTGTAAGACGAAGAAAATGGATTAGATAAAAAAAAAAGTAGAAAAAAAACCCAAATAATTGCAAAAAATAAGCAGAAAGGAAGCGATAAACGAAGAAGGAAGAAAACAGGTTGGTTGGAAAGAAAAACGAAAACGGAAGAATGAAACAAGGGAAAGTTGGAAAGTGTGGCTGTCTGGTTGAGGTGGTTGTCCGGGCCGGGGCGTCAGAATGAACGAACGAAATGGCAGGTGACAGAGAAAAGGAAATAGACGATTAATCTCTCGACATTGAAACGCTGCCCCGGCATCCATCGATCGATCTTCCACGTCCATGTCCATTCTTAAGCCAAACCCGCCCGAAACACTTCTTGCAGAAGATTTGCGATAAAGAAAGGCCTCGATTATAAGAGTGGACAGGTACTCTCTCCTCTTATATTTTTAGCAGCCAATAATTACCTTTCATTGTTTCACAAATTCGTCTACTCGAAATTCCGTTTCCTTCCGGTGTTAAATTTCTGGGTTTTTTTTCTTTTTTCTTTGTTTTATTTCTTTTTTTATTTTGTATGCTTCTTTATTTTATTCTTTTATTCATTCTTCTAGAGCCGTGTCCATTCAGGACGTTGACGATCATTGCCCTCTACAATTTCCTGTCCTTTGTAGGTCTTATTTCTTTTTCTTATCTTGTTTGGCCATTCATTTACTCAAGGTTAAATAGGAGGTTATACGGAAAAAATCTCTGTCCTTGTCGCCTTCAGTTTGTCCTGTGAGTATCAACTTTTTTAAGCCGTCTTTTCTCATTATGTCTTCTAGAGAATTCAACTATCTCTTCCTCGTGTTAATTATAAGTGTCTTTTTGTTTTGCTTGGTTCCAGACCTTCATCGCTGCTCCCATGTTCAGTCCATGGTAATCTTTCTGTAGAGCCACATGTCTGCATCTTCACGTCTCTCCTTTATCTGTGATGAAATCGTCCAGCATTCACAACACATAGACCTTTTCTTTCTTCTGTTCTTTTCTTCGGCCTTCCTACCATTTTTCCTTCTTTTTTTTTCCCTTCATTTCTATTTCTATAAATAATTACAAAAATATATAAATGCAACAGCGAAGACTACTTCTACATCAGGTTTATGAAAATGGAGGGAGAGGTTACATTATTGATATACGTTCTCCCTCTGTGAGTGTGAGAAGGAAAATTCGGTAAGCTATCAGACACTACCAACGATGTCGTGTTTTGATTGTTTGTTTGTTTGGGTTTTATGGCATATCAACCACTGTGGGTTACTTAATGCCAAATCCAGTTTATATGAATTTTAAATGCCTATTTTGTATGGAATAAAAAACGTATAGCTGGCAACATTATTGTTTCAAAAACGAACAGCTGGCAACATTATGGTTCTAAAAACGTATAGCTGGCAACATTATTGTTCCAAAACGTACAAACCTGGCAAATTATTTTTTTTTTTGCAAAAAAATATCTTAGCTGGCAACATTATGGTTTCAAAACGTATAGCTGGCAACATTATTGTTTCAAAAACGCATAGCTGGCAACATTATTGTTTCAAAAACGTATAGCTGGCAAAATTAATTTTCCGAAAACATTATCTGAAGCCTTGTTGTTGGATGTAGTTTATCGCCATACCCAGGACGCGGATGTAGTTTATCGCCATACCCAGGACGCGGATGTAGTTTGTCGCCATACTCAGGACGCGGATGTAGTTTTCCGTCATACCCAGGACGCGGATGTAGTTTATCACCATACCCAGGACGCAGATGTAGTTTGTCGCCATACTCAGGACGCGGATGTAGTTTTCCGTCATACCCAGGACGCGGATGTAGTTTACCGTCATACCCAGGACGCGGATGTAGTTTATCGCCATACCCAGGACGCGGATGTAGTTTACCATCATACGCAGGACGCGGATGTAGTTTATCATTATACCCAGGGCGTTCGTGTTTTGATTAAATTTTACAATGCATACAAGTACAATATTTGTATAAAAACAAAACATAGATTCTGATTACAGTTAAATGTAATGAAACAAAAAATAAACACACACAAAAAAAATCTGCATTTTATTTGTAAAGCTGCAACGCAATAATCCAGCTACTAGTAGCCATGTTTCTTTTTGAAAATGTCCATTTGTAGGAAGTCACGTCAAAACTTGAGAGACATTTGGATTTTGGAGATTTTCGGATTTTGGAATTTCGAATAAAGGATATTCAGGCTGTATTCAGTTTCACTATTTGTTCAGTATAATCGAATACTTTTCTTTTTTTTTTTTATTAACGAACAATTTTAGTAAGAATTTAATTTTAATTTTTTCTTTTTTATTATTTATTATATCTATGTTATTTTTCGTTATTTATTGATTATTCTTTTTCTATACGCCGTCTTCCTTCATGACGTGTATAATCGCGGCTCTCCACATCGTCTTTTATTTTGTACCTTTGTCGTTTGTATATGTTTTGTCCCCCGCCTATCAACCGTCCCAGTATGCACTCACGCAAGCTGATCGGATAGATTATTTCTTTAAAGAAAGCAACAGCAAAACTGAACGTATAGATAAAACAAGAACATCAACATTTTCTATTAAAAATACACATTAACTTGTAAGCAAGATGAATTTTCCCTTAGAAATATTATGAAGAAATACACAACAACAAAAGTACCAAAAATAAGTAAATGAATTTAATTATCTATTTTAAGGAAAATTCAAACACAACTCCATTCTCAACAAAAACAAAAAACTGTATAATCAAAATTACAGAGAATAAATATTATTCATGATTTCAAATGTCCCTTAAGGAACTATGATCCCGATCAAACCAAATTCATGAATAATTATATTGGACCTACCACAACATGCCTATCGAGAAGACTAACATTACATATTTCAGACTATAGGACCCATTTCAAGACACACATACGCCTACTAAACACCATACGTAAGATACTTGTAGAAAATATGATCATAATAGACACGCCCACATGAAAAAAAAAAAAACGAGGAAAAATAATAGAAGCAATAATAATAATAAAAAAGAACGCGCAATAGTATCAACTATGAACACGTTCGCAACGTGCTAACCATGTTTGATTTTTTTAATAATTTCACCCAAACCAAGACGGGATTGTCATTTGTAAGCAGGGGGTTACAGAGAGAGAAGGTGAGAGAAAAAGATTTTCCTCTATCCCCACCCTAGACCGATGAAAGGATGAACGGTTCGAGAAGGCGACTGACGTTGCATTTAAAATGTTGAAGATTATAGTTATGAGGAAAGAAACGTAACCGCCACTTTTACTCCAACAGTTTAATTTTCCGCCTTCTGACACAGAAGGCGGGAAAATAAACTGTTGGAGTAAAAGTGGCGGTTACATTTACCTAATTCAACAATAAAAGGGTCGGTCCTAGATGCCAATCTAGTAGCATGTTTAGACTCATGCTGTCTGGGCACCAGGGAGAAAGACTCGTTAGAGCAATAGCCATGAAAATATTTGGAGAAAAGACAGAGGGAAGCCACGTCAGGTCGATAAGAATGTGACTGAAGTCGAAATCCCAAGTCAGCATCGATTAGAATGCAGATCGTTCTTCGAATTTTGTCAAGAATCTGGAGATGAGTAGCAGGAACACCTGACCAGATATGGCAACAGTATTCAATGCATGGACGAATGCCAGATTTGTAAATGTGCAAGATGGACATATGGCGAAAAAAAACCTTCTGGCACGACGCAGTCACCCAACTGTCCTTGCAGTAAATGCAGCTATTGATTTGTAGTCGTTTCTCTTCAAGTCAGTTGAAAACGTGAGTCCAAGAAGTCGCAGTGTGTTGCTCTCCAGGTGTCTAGCCTCAGCCATGCTAATGGTAGGCAGGAAATTTTCTTTATTATGGTTAATGGGGAGCAGTTTAATTTTGGAGGTATTCAAATTTACGAGACATTTCCTAACACAGTTAACCACTGATTGGAAGTACTTTTCAAAATTAGCAGCCATTAAAATGAATAAAACATTCCAATCCCTATAGATACATATATATATATAAAAATCTACATATTCAGTTAAAAATGAAAAGAAATCCGTGAAAATACTCGGATATATCGAACATTTAGACAGGTTTTTTTACATTTTCTCTCTAGAAAAGTAAAAAAAAAAATGGAAGAATGCAAAAAAAAAAATAATAAAAAACTTAATCATAGTAACTTGTCAGTCCTCTTTAATGAAACATGTGTAAAAGAATGGTTGCTACCAAAAAAAGACGTTTATGTGTAAATAAATATATACATATTTAAAAAAATTAGTCTAAAAGTTTAACATTCCAGGGTCCCTCCGCTTCGTGTGCACGTGTAGTTAAACACACAATGTGTTCAACTGTTTTTCACTGGATCTATTTGCATACATATACGTATATCTAAACAGGAAGAATTCAGGTAGCATTGTTACTATTTCCTAATAAAACGACAATAGCAAGCATTCAAATAACAGCTTAAGCGACAAAAATATGTTTATTGGATTTATTACATTGTAAATTTGCTTCGGGCTTTCAGAATAAACGCCAACGTTGTTTGAAGGCATCGTTCCCTTCCATCACCTGTTGGCTTGGTGCATGACTCACGCCTGGGCAGTAAGTAAATGTACACACCTTGAGAGGGAGAAAAAGAAGAAATAGGGAATAGGTAGATTGAAGAATGTGTTAAGAAATAATAAAAGAAAGATAGAGAAGGATGAAAAGACAAGGAGATAAGATCTCTTATGGAATAATAAAAGATAGATAGAGAAGAGTGAAAAGACAAGGAGATAGGAGCTCTTCAGGAATAACAAAACAGAGATAGAGAAGGATGAAAAGACAAGGAGATAAGATCTCTTAAGGAATAATAAAAGATAGATAGGGAAGAGTGAAAAGGCAAGGAGATAGGAGCTCTTCAGGAATAACAAAACAGAGATAGAGAAGGATGAAAAGACAAGGAGATAAGATCTCTTAAGGAATAATAAAAGATAGATAGGGAAGAGTGAAAAGACAAGGAGATAGGAGCTCTTCAGGAATAACAAAACAGAGATAGAGAAGGATGAAAAGACAAGGAGATAAGATCTCTTAAGGAATAATAAAAGATAGATAGGGAAGAGTGAAAAGGCAAGGAGATAGGAGCTCTTCAGGAATAACAAAAAATAGAGATAGAGAAGGATGAAAAGACAAGGAGATGAGATCAAAAGGAGGAATATTAAAAGATAGATAGGGAAGAGGAAAAAAACAAAGGAGATAGGAGCTCTTCAGGAATAACAAAACAGAGATAGAGAAGGATGAAAAGACAAGGAGATAAGATCTCTTAAGGAATAATAAAAGATAGATAGGGAAGAGTGAAAAGGCAAGGAGGAGATAGGAGCTCTTCAGGAATAAACAAAACAGAGATAGAGAAGAATGATGAAAAGACAAGGAGATAAGATCTCTTAAGGAATATTAAAAAGATAGATAGGGAAGAGTGAAAAGACAAGGAGATAGGAGCTCTTCAGGAATAAAAAAACAGAGATAGAGAAATGATGAAAAGGAAAAGACAAGGATAAGATCTCTTAAGAATAATAAAAGATAGATAGAAGAAGAAGAAGAAAAAAAGAATGAGAGAGATAGGAAAAAGACAGGAATAACAAAACAGAGACAGAGAAGGATGAAAAAAAGAGAAGGAGATAAGATCTCAAAAGGAATAATAAAAAGATAGATAGGGAAGAGGAAAAGATGAAGGAGATAGGAGGAGGTTCAGAATAAAAAAACAGAGATAGAGAAGGATGAAAAAGACAAGGAGATAAGATCTCTTAAGGAATATTAAAAGATAGATAGGGAAGAGAAAAGACAAGGAGAATAGAAGTGAAGGAATAACAAAAAAGAGAGATAGAGAAGGATGAAAAGACAAGGAGATAAGATCTCTTAAGGAATAATAAAAGATAGAAAAGAAGAGTGAAAAGACAAGGAGATAGGAGCTCTTCAGGAATAAGAAAAGGAGAGATAGAGAAGGATGAAAAAACAAGGAGATAAGATCTCTTAAGGAATAATAAAAGATAGATAGGGAAAAGGAAAAGACAAGGAGATAGGAGCTCTTTCAGGAAGGACAAAACAGAGATAGAGAAGGATGAAAAGACAAGGAGATAAGATCTCTTAAGGAATAATAAAAGATAGATAGGGAAGAGTGAAAAGACAAGGAGATAGATAGGAAAAACTTCAGGAATAAAAAAACAGAGATAGAGAAGGATGAAAAGACAAGGAGATAAGATCTCTAAGGAATATTAAAAGATAGATAGGGGAGAAGAAAAAAGACAAGGAGATAGGAGAAGAGGAATAACAAAACAGAGATAGAGAAGGATGAAAAGACAAGGAGATAAGAAATGGGTGGAAAAAATAAAATAGATAGATTGGGAAGAGAAAAAAGAAAAAAGGAGATAGGAGGAGGAGGTTTGGGGAATAATGAAAACAGAGATAGAGAAGGATGAAAAGACAAGGAGATAAGAAGAAGAAAGGAAGATTAAAAAAGATAGATAGGAAGAGTGAAAAAGACAAGGAGATATTATAGGAAATGGGTGGCAGGAATAAAAAAATACAGAGATAGAGAAGGATGAAAAGACAAGGAGGAAGATCTTTAAGGAATAATAAAAGATAGATAGGAAGAATGAAAAAGACAAGAAGAGAAGAAGTAAGAAAATTCAGGAATAAAAAAACAAGGAGAGATAGAGAAATGGATGAAAAGAAAAGGAAAGATAATCTCTTAAGGAATAAGAAAAGATAGATAGGAAAGAGGAAAAGACAAGGAGATAGGGAGGTCTTCAGGAATAACAAAACAGAGATAGAGAAGGATGAAAAGACAAGAAGATAAGATCTAAAGAATAATAAAAGATAGATAGGGAAGAGTGAAAAAGACAAGGAGATAGGAGCTCTTCAGGAATAACAAAACAGAGATAGAGAAGGATGAAAAGACAAGGAGATAAGATTCTTGGAAATAATAAAAGAGGAGATAGGAGAAGAAGAAAAGACAAACAGAAGAAGGAGAAGAAGGAATAACAAAAAGAGAATAGAGAAGGATGAAAAGACAAGGAGATAAGATGGGTTTAAGAATAAAAAAAGAGAGATAGGGAAGAGTGAAAAGGCAAGGTGAAAAGAGAAGGAATAAAGGAAGGAGGATAGAGGAGGATGGGAAATGATGAAGGAGATAAGAAGAGGTAAGGAATATTAAAAAGAAAGATAGAAGAAGAAGAAGAAAAGAACAAGGAGAAAGAGAATCTTCAGGAATAAGAAAACAGAGATAGAGAAGGATGAAAAAACAAGGAGATTAGATCAAAAAAGAGAATAAAAAAAGATAGATAGGAAGAGAGAGAAGAAAAGACAAGGAGATAGGAGCTTTCAGGAATAAATGAAACAGAGATAGAGAAGGATGGAAAAGACAAGGAGATAAGATCTCTAAAGAATAATAAAAGATAGATAGGGAAGAGTGAAAAGACAAGGAGATAGGAGCTCTTCAGGAATAAAAAAAACAGAGATAGAGAAGGATGAAAAGAAAAGAAGGATATAATCTCTTGGGGAATAATAAAAAGATAGATAGGGAAGAGGAAGAAAAGACAAGGAGAAAGGGAAGAAGAAGAAGAGGAATAACAAAACAAAGAGATAGAGAAGGATGAAAAGAGGAAATGGATAAGATCAAAAAAGAGATAGGAATAATAAAAGATAGATAGGGAAAAGAGAAAAAAAAAAGAGAGGAGGAGATAGGTTTCAGGAATAATGAAAACAGAGATAGAGAAGGATGTAAAGACAAGAGATAAGATCTCTTAAGGAATAATAAAAGATAGATAGGGAAGAGTGAAAAGACAAGGAGATAGGAGCTCTTCAGGAATAAAAAAAAAGATAGAGAGATAGAGAAGGATGAAAAGACAAGGAGATAAGATCTCTTAAGGAATAATAAAAAGATAGATAGAGGAAGAGAGATGAAAAGACAAGGAGATAGGAGAGGAGCTCTTCAGGAATAACAAAACAGAGAGAGAGAAAGGATGAAAAGAAGAAGAAGAATAAAATCTGAATTAAGGAATAAAAGAAAAGAGATATTATAGGGAAGAGGAAAAGACAAAAAAAGGAGAATTCAGGAATAACAAAACAGAGATAGAGAAGGATGAAAAGACAAGGAGATAAGGATCTTTAAGGAATAATAAAAGATAGATAGGGAAGAGGAAAAAAGAAGGAGAAGATAGAAAAAAAAGGAAGAAGAAAACAAGATAGAAGAAGAAGAAAAGACAAGGAGATAAGATCTCTTAAAAAATTAAAGAGATAGAAGGATGGGAAGAGATAAGAAAGGAATAAAAAAAGATAGGATAAGACAAGGAGATAGGAGCCTTCAGGAATAACAAAAAAGAGAAGGAGAGAAGGATGTAAAGAAAAGGAGATAAGATCTCTTAAGAAAGAAGAAGAAAAAAGATAGAAGAAGAAGAAGGAGAAGGAGAAGAAGAGACTAAAAAATACAAGGAGACAAGGAGATAGGAGCTCTTCAGGAAAAAAGAAAACAGAGATAGAGAAGGAAGAAAAAAAAGGAGATAAGATCTCTTAAGGAATAATAAAAGATAGATAGGGAAGAGAAGAAAAGAAGAAGGAAGATAGAAGAAGAAGGAATAACAAAACAGAGATAGAGAAGGATGAAAAGACAAGGAGATAAGAAATCTTATAGGAAAAAAAAAAAGAATAGATAGGGAAAAGAGAAAAAAAAAGAAGGAGATAGGAGGAGGTTTGGGAAATAACAAAACAGAGAAAGAGAAGGATGAAAAGAAGAAGAAGAAGAAGAAGAAGATCTCTTATAGGAAAAATAAAAGATAGATAGGGAAGAGTGAAAAGGCAAAAAGATAGAGAATACAGGAATAACAAAAAGAGATAGAGAAGGATGAAAAGAGGAGGAGATAAGATTCTTAAGGAATATTAAAAGATAGATAGGGAAGAGTGAAAAGACAAGGAGATAGGGAGAAGAAGGAATAACAAAACAGAGATAGAGAAGGATGAAAAGACAAGGAGATAAGATCTCTTAAGGAATAAAAAAAGATAGATAGGGAAGAGTGAAAAGACAAGGAGATAGGAACTCTTCAGGAATGATGAAAAAGGAGAGATGGAGAAGGATGAAAAGACAAGGAGATAAGAAGAAGAAGAATAATTAAAAGATAGATAGGGAAGAGTGAAAAGACAAGGAGATAGGAGCTCTTCAGGAATAACAAAAAAAGAGAAAGAGAGAAGGATGAAAAGAGAAGGAGAAAAGATCTCTTAAGGAATAATAAAAGATAGAGGAGGATAGAGGGAGGTGAAAAACAAGGAGATAGGAGCTCTTCAGAAGAAGAAAACAAAACAGAGATAGAGGGAAAGGATGAAAAGACAAGGAGATAAGATCTCTTAAGGAATAACAAAAAGAGATAGATAGGGAAGAGTGAAAAGACAAGGAGGAGGAGGAGCTCTTCAGGAAATAACAAAAAGAGAGAGAGAAGGATGAAAAGACAAGGGAGAAGAAGATCTCTTAAGGAATAATAAAAGATAGATAGGGAAGAGACAAAAAAAAGGAGATAGGAGCTCTTCAGAATAACAAAACAGAGATAGAGAAGGATGAAAAGACAAGGAGATAAGATTTTAAGGAATATTAAAAGATAGATAGGGAAGAGTGAAAAGACAAGGAGATAGGAGAAGAAGAAATAAGAAAACAGAGAAGAGAAGGATGAAAAGACAAGGGAAAAGATCAAGGAATAATAAAAGAAGATAGGGAAGAGTGAAAAAAAAAGAGAATAGGAGTCTTCAGGAATAACAAAAACAGAGAAGAGAAATGAAAAGAGGAGATAAGAGGTTTGGGAATAATGAAAGGAGATAGGGAAGAGGTGAAAAAGAAGAAGGAGATAGAAGAAGAAGAAGAACAAAACAGAGATAGAGAAGGATGAAAAGACAAGGAGATAAGATCTCTTAAGGAATAAAAAAAAAAAGAATAAAAGATAGATAAAAAGGAAGAGTGAAAGACAAGGAGATAGGAGATCTTCAGGAATAACAAAACAGAGATAGAAGAAGGATGAAAATACAAGGAGAAGAAGATCTCTTAAGGAATAATAAAAGAAGAAGAAGAAGATAGGGAAAAAAGTGAAAAGACAAGGAGATATTAGATAGGGAAAAGGGTGGCTCTTCAGGAATAACAAAAGAGAAGATAGAAGAAGGATGAAAAGGAAGAAGATAAGATCTCTTAAGGAATAATAAAAGATAGATAAAAGAAGAAAGAAGAAAAGGCAAGGAGATAGGAAGAAGAAGGAATAACAAAACAGAATAGAGAAGGAGAAAAGAAAGGAAATATAAAAGATAGAAGGGAAAGAAGAAAAGAAAAAAGATAGATGGGGAAAGAGAAGAAAAAAGAAGGAGATAGGGAGGATCTTTAGGAATAAAAAAAGAGAGATAGAGAAGGATGAAAGACAAGAAGAAAAGAAGAAGGAGAAAAGAATAATAAAAGATAGATAATGATAGAAGGAAAAAGACAAGGAGATAGGAGCTCTTCAGAAAAAACAAAACAGAGATAGAAAAGGATGAAAAGACAAAGGGGATAAGGAAATGGGTGGCGAATAATAAAAAGATATATAGGGAAGAGAAAAAAGAAGAAGGAGAAGAAACTCTTCAGGAATAACAAAACAGAGATAGAGAAGGATGAAAAGACAAGGAGATAAGAAGAAAAGAAGGAATAATTAAAGAAGATAAGGGAAGAAAAAGCAAGAAGATAGGAGCTCTTCAGGAGATAACAAAACAGAGAAATGGAAGGATGAAAAGACAAGAAGATAAGATCTCTTAAAGAATAATAAAAAAGATAGATAGGGAAGAGGAAAAGACAAGGAGATAGGAGATCTTCAGAATAACAAAACAGAGATAGAGAAAAGAGAAAATAGAAGGGGAGGAGATAAGATCTCTTAAGGAATAAAAAAGATAGATAGGAAGAGTGAAAAAGACAAGGAGATAGGAGCTCTTCAGGAATAACAAAACAGAGATAGAGAAGGATGAAAAGACAAGAAGATAAGATCTCTTAAGGAATAATAAAAAGACAAGAGATAGATAGGGAAGAGGAAAAGGCAAGGAGATAGGAGCTCTTCAGGAATAACAAAAAGAGAGATAAGAGAAGGATGAAAAACAAAAAAAGGAGATAAAAGATCTCTTAAAAGAATAGGGAAGAGTGAAAGAAAGGATAGGGAAGAACAAAAAGACAAGGAGATAGGGAGATTTTCAGGAATAACAAAACAGAGATAGAGAAGGATGAAAAGACAAGGAGATAAGAAAGAAGAATAAAAAGAAGATAGAAGAAGGAAGAGTGAAAAGACAAGGAGATAAAAAGACAGCTCTTCAGGAATAATAAAAACAGAGATAGAGAAGGATGAAAAAAAGAAGGAGATAAGGATCTCTTAAGGAATAATAAAAGATAGATAGGGAAGAGTGAAAAGACAAGGAGATAGGAGCTCTTCAGGAATAACAAAAAAAGAGATAGAGAAGGATGAAAAGACAAGGGATAAGATCTCTTAAGGAATAATAAAAGATAGATAGGGAAGAGTGAAAAGACAAGGAGATAGGAGCTCTTCAGGAATAACAAAACAGAGATAGAGAAGGATGAAAAGACAAGGAGATAAGATCTCTTAAGGAATAATAAAAGATAGATAGGGAAGAGTGAAAAGACAAGGAGATAGGAGCTCTTCAGGAATAACAAAACAGAGATAGAGAAGGATGAAAAGACAAGGAGATAAGATCTCTTAAGGAATAATAAAAGATAGATAGGGAAGAGTGAAAAGACAAGGAGATAGGAGCTCTTCAGGAATAACAAAACAGAGATAGAGAAGGATGAAAAGACAAGGGGATAAGATCTCTTAAGGAATAATAAAAGAGAGATAAAGGAAGAGTGAAAAGACAAGGAGATAGGGGCTCTTCAGGAATAACAAAAGAGAGATAGAGGATGGAAAAAATACAAGAGATAAGATCTCTGAAAGGAATAATAAAAGATAGATAGGGAAGAGTGAAAAGGCAAGGAGATAGGAGCTCTTCAGGAATAACAAAACAGAGATAGAGAAGGATGAAAAGACAAGGAGATAAGATCTCTTAAGGAATAATAAAAGATAGATAGGGAAGAGTGAAAAGACAAGGAGATAGGAGCTCTTCAGGAATAACAAAACAGAGATAGAGAAGGATGAAAAAGACAAGGGATAAGATCTCTTAAGGAATAATAAAAGATAGATAGGAAGAGATGAAAAGACAAAACAGAGATAGGAAGGATCTTCAGGAATAACAAAACAGAGATAAAGACAGAAGGATGAAAACACAAGGAGATAAGATCTCTTAAGGAATAATAAAAGATAGATAGGGAAGAGTGAAAAGGCAAGGAGGAGATAGGAGCTCTTCAGGAATAACAAAACAGAGATAGAGAAGGATGAAAAGACAAGGAGATAAGATCTCTTAAAACAGAATAATAAAAGATAGATAGGGAAGAGTGAAAAAGACAAGGAGATAGGACCTCTTCAGGAATAACAAAACAGAGATAGAGAAGGATGAAAAGACAAGGAGATAAGATCTCTTAAGTTATAATAAAAGATAGATAGGGAAGAGTGAAAAGGCAAGGAGATTGGAGCTCTTCAGGAATAACAAAACAGAGATAGAGAAGGATGAAAAGACAAGGAGATAAGATCTCTTAAGGAATAATAAAAGATAGATAGGGAAGAGTGAAAAGGCAAGGAGATAGGAGCTCTTAAGTAATAATGAAAGATAGATAGAGAAGGGTTAAAAGACAAGGAGATAGGATCTCTTAAGGAGTAATAAAAGATAGATAGAGAAGGGTGAAAAGACAAGAGATTAGAAGATCTTAAAGAATAATAAAAGATAGATAGAGAAGAGTGAAAAGACAAGGAGATAGGAGCTCTTCAGGAATAATAAAATATAGAGAAGGGTGAAAAGACAAGGAGATAGGATCTCTTAAGGAGTAATAAAAGATAGATAGAGAAGGGTGAAAAGACAAGAGATTAGAAGATCTTAAAGAATAATAAAAGATAGATAGGGAATAGTGAAAAGACAAGGAGATAGCAGCTCTTCAGGAATAATAAAAGATAGAGAAGGGTGAAAAGACAAGAGGATAGAAGAAGATCTTAAGGAATAATAAAATAGTGATAGGCAAGGCTTAAAAAATACAAAGATAGAAGTTCTTAAAGAATAACAAAAGAGAGATATGGAAGGGTGAAAAGAAAAATTGATAGAAGGTCTTAAGAAAAAATAAAAGAGAGATAAAGAAAGGGGGAAAAGACAAGGAGATAGGAGCTCTTAAGGAATAATAAAATAGTTATAGGGAAGGGGGGAAAAGGCTAGAATATAAGAGCTCTTAAGGAATAACGAAAGAGAGATAGGATAGTGAAAAGTCAAAGAGAGAGAAGGTCTTAATGAATAATAAAATAGAAATAGGGAAGGGTGAAAAGACAAGGTCTTATGGAATAAGAAAAGAGAGATAGAGAAGGGGGAAACGACAAATGGATAGGAGCTCTTAAGGAATAGCGAAAGAGCGATAGGGAAGTGAAAAGACAAGGTGATAGAAGGTCTTACGGAATAATAAACATAGGGATAGGAAAGGGTGAAAAGACAAGGAGATAGAATGTCTTAAGGAATAATAAATATGGAGATAGGAAAGGGTGAAAAGACAAGGAGATAGAAGGTCTTACGGAATAATAAATATGGAGATAGGAAAGGGTGAAAAGACAAGGAGATAGAATGTCTTAAGGAATAATAAATATGGAGATAGGAAAGGGTGAAAAGACAAGGTGATAGAATGTCTTAAGGAATAATAAATATTGAGATAGGAAAGGGTGAAAAGACAAGGAGATAGAAGGTCTTACGGAATAATGAATATGGAGATAGGAAAGGGTGAAAAGACAAGGAGATAGAATGTCTTAAGGAATAATAAATATGGAGATAGGAAAGGGTGAAAAGACAAGGTGATAGAATGTCTTACGGAATAATAAATATGGAGATAGGAAAGGGTGAAAAGACAAGGAGATAGAATGTCTTACGGAATAATAAATATGGAGATAGGAAAGGGTGAAAAGCTTAGGTGATAGAATGTCTTACGGAATAATAAATATGGAGATAGGAAAGGGTGAAAAGACAAGGAGATAGAATGTCTTACGGAATAATAAATATGGAGATAGGAAAGGGTGAAAAGACAAGGTGATAGAATGTCTTAAGGAATAATAAATATGGAGATAGGAAAGGGTGAAAAGACAAGGAGATAGAATGTCTTAAGGAATAATAAATATGGAGATAGGAAAGGGTGAAAAGACAAGGAGATAGAATGTCTTACGGAATAATAAATATGGAGATAGGAAAGGGTGAAAAGACAAGGAGATAGAATGTCTTAAGAAATAAAAAAGAGAGATAGTGAAGGGTGAAAAGAAAAGTAGATAGATTAAGGTTTTCATGAATAATAAAAGACATATATGGAATGTATTTACATTAGTCGGACTATTGTCCTCATCTTTGTCGCCATATTTGTCACAACGTTTCGGCCGTTGTACGCTCCGGTCGAAACGTTGTGACAAATATGGCGACAAAGATGAGGACAATAGTCCGACTAATGCAAATACTGTACATAATACCTCATCTCAGAAATATAGACAGACTCTATATATGGAAGGGTGAAAAAATATGGAATTAAAATTTTGGAGAGTTTTGGGAAGAAATGAGTGAGAGAAAATTAAGAAGGAGAAAAAATATAAAGGATGTGACAGAGATGAAAATGAAGAAGGAAATGAAAACCAGAAAGACAAATTAAAAATAAAAGAGGGAATAAGAGAATAAAAGAACGTAAAAGAAAAAGTAAGCGAATCAATTAATGAATGAAATCAGTGTGAAGAAGGGAGACATGATAACCACACAAGACAGAAGATAGGAAGGAAAAAAAAAGACAAGAAAGCGAAGAAAGAAAGCAAGGAAGAAAAACTGAATGAATGATGGAAAGAAATAAAATAGAAACGAAAATAGAATAAAAAAATGAATGAAATCATTAAAAGGAAATGAGGAAATGAAGCCAAAAAAGAAGACTAAATAAAAAGGAATGAACTGAAGGAGTAACGAGGAAATAAAGAGTGAATGAAAAATGCAATAAAAAAAATGGAGAAAAGGAAAAAAAATCTAACAGGAAAGCAAAATAGGAAGGAATGAAGGAAAAACGAAAATATAAAAAGAAACCCAAAATAAATAATTTCCTAAAAAGAAAGAAAGAAAAAAAGAAAGAAAGAAAAAAAAGAAAGAAAAAAGGAAAGAAAGAAAATGATAAATGCAAGACAAATTAAGTACAAGGAAATGAGAAAGAAATGAAAAACAGCACAAGACTGACTTAATGGGACCGCAAAGAAGAACAGACGATCAATATTTTGTTTCAGTAAAACAAAAACAGGTTGAAAACGAGATATACTTAGAAATACAAACTAAATGAAAACAGTGCACTTGTGTACCAGATACGATTGTCGGCAAGTGTAATTTATTTCCTATTTTACGGCACACTTGTTATTTGGAAGGTGTGCGCGTTGTGTTGTAATGGACGATGACCCGGAAGGGGAAATCGGAGAGCCGAGTTCGAATACTGGTCGGGTTCGTTGCATTCACTTACGCGCAAATAACCTTGGGAAGGGTATGAATCCATCACTCCTCACCTAAGCCCAGCTATGGGTTGAATAGCAGGACAGACTGGGGCTTATACACTTGATTGATTGTGTTTTATACTGCAACTAGGATGATCAGTCACAGTTTCTGGGAAAGAGCCCGTTATCTAGCGTGATCAACAATCAGAAAAAGGCCAGCACACTCAAACCCTCGGTCACGATGACTTGTGAATACGTGCTAGCACAGCTATCGACGGCACCCAAAGGTGCGTCTAAAATTAACTCCCAAGGTTTGGGTCAACCCGTGGTATGGTTTTCAAGTACTTTCAAAAGGTGTCGCATGCTGAGATCGACCCTTCAATCCGATAACATATGGATGTCAAAGAAATAGATTTACGTGGTTTATTTCAACAGGAACGTGAGGGTTTGGGACAGCTACCTTGTGGTAAAGTTCATAAGCCGGCTTCCGGATCTGGGTCGATCTCTCATAGTAGTTCTCACATGTTGACGGTGGTTGATGCTCCCTGCTGCTGACAGCTCAGCCTGACCGTGACAGGTCTCTTTTGCGGCCACCTGTTGACTGCCTGTTGAACTTCTCCGTGTGACCCCTTTTATAGCGTTTTTTTATGGCTTAACAGGCTCGAAAAAATGAAGCGAGTATAATTAGGAGGGAAGCATTTTTATTGGACGAAAAATAGAAACACTTTAAATATTATTTTATTTTTCGACCGGAACACGTGTGTCAGGAACATTTGTAAAAAGAAAGATAATGGTCATTTTGTGACGGGGCTTTGTCCCGTTCACATCCGGTTCTCGCTCTTGAGTATTTACCTGTAAATCAGCCGAGATATGTCTTATTTTATTTTATAACACTGATGGAATCGAACATGGTGAGATTCGAACCAAGGTCTATTACAGATCAAATGCGATAGCAGCTATATATATATATATATATTTCCTTATATATATAATTAAATAATATAGACATTTAATATTAGTGGCTTTATTAATCGTAAAATTGTTGAAACATCTGTTTAACCTTTTCAAATATTTTGATTGTTTTACATTATTCAGACTGTTATACTTCAAAGACATTAACCATCTTCACAACAGTTTCTGCATTGTACAGAATTTTGAAGGTTCCCAAAATTTCAAGACAAAGTAAAGAATTTTATCCAATAGGGGTAGAATATTCTAGTTCCACGCGCCATGCCTCTTCCGGGTGTCTCAATTATTTTTAGTTTAAATCAATTCTCCAAGTTTTTTGGTTCATCACTGCTGTGGGCCAAATTTCCTCAAAACTTTTTTCTCCAGTTTCTGGATCTAACCGACGTTAGTTTATCATCTTACCCAGGACAGCTATGTTCTTTATAACGTCCATATTGTTGGTAATATTTTTTTCAAAAAATGTACCACTGGTAATATTTTTCCCGTAAAAATATCGTTGGTATTAAAGCCTATTTTTATAGTTTCATAGGGTTTTGACCTCTTTTTGTGGGGTTAACTATTTGCCCTGACAGGTACCCATGTTTCAGTCAAGAAGAACCTTCGAACACCAGCATTAAGAAAATAGTTCTAAAATAACCATTAAAAAACATTTTTAATTGTCCATATTATGCTGTCGGATGTAGAAAATATAAATTACCCAGAAAACAGCTATTTTTTTTTTTATAAAAAAATATTTTTAAAAAAAATATTTTATTTCTATCTTATTCGCAAAATCATGTCTGTCCGACATTAATTGTATTTCTTTCGAATTTCTTTTTTTTCCAAAAAAAAAAAAATTAGCAGCCCATTTTTTTTCGATTGGTGATTGATCCTCTTAAAAAAAAAAAAACGAAAAAAAAAAACGAAAAAAACCTGTTCTCTAATTTTTAATTTTCAAGCACGATTTCTTCGAATGAAAGAAGTTTAGGAATGTAACAAAGAATATACCAGAAATAAAAAAAAATTTAAAAGAAAAAAAAAAACTATATAAAATTGAGGATGATGGATGAGAAATAATGGAATTTTCAGAACAAGAGAATGAATGAGATAAAGAAAGAGAAAAAATTGAAGAGAGGGACAGAGAATGAATGAGAGAGAAAATTAATAAAGGGAGGAGAATATGGCAAAAAAATAAAGTTAAAAAAAAAAAAAAAAAATAAAGGGAAAAAAAATTTTTAACTTTTATTTTAGTAATAGGTGAAAAAGAAAACAGTAATGATTTTAACAGAGGGGGAAAAAAAAAGGCATAATCAAAAGAAGTTTAGTTTTCAAAACAGAACTGATAAAGAGATAAGGATATAAGAGATGAAGTTGATATGTTTCAGTAACAAAAAAGTGTAAAAAATCTGTTTGGACAAAAAAAAAAAAAGTAAAAAAAAACAATTTAATGTTTTGAGAAGGAGGAGGATTGTTGAATCATAGAACAAAGAGAGGGAGATAGAGAAATGTGTGAGAGGAAGATATAGTGCATTTTTAAAAAAAAAGACGTGGCATAAAATGCATGGGGGACCCTTTGAGGATGGATTCTAAAATGTCATACATAATTGTTCTTCAAGCCCAATCTTGCTAACCATAAAATACTTTCAAACCTAGATAAATAATGAGTTCACAGTTCTAGACAATAAAAAAAGAATTGGACTGGAAAATATTTTTCTAAAATAAAAGAATGGCTCCAATCTGAATTTAAAACATTAAGTTTCAATTGGGATAATCAAAGAACAGAGAGAGAGACAGACAGACAGAGAAAACATAGTATATAGTAAAGATGATGGAAGTAAGAAAGATAGACAATTAAATGTTAGTAAAAATTTTTTGTAAAAAAAAAATTAAATAAAATAAAATAAAATAAAAAACTAGTTAAAATAAAAACAGAATTTTTCAAATTAAAAGGAAGAGAAGTGTGAATAACAATCAGAGAGAGGGAGAGAGAGAAAAAATGTGAGAGAAAAAATAATGAGAAAGATTTCACAGATTAAAATTTTTATTTTGTAACAAAAAAGAAAGTAAAATAAAAAAGAGAGAAGGAAAACTAGTTAAAATAAAAACAGAATGGCTCGAGGGAGGAAGAGAAGGAATTTACAATTTAGAGGAGAGAGAGAGATTTGAGAGAGAGAGAGAAAGATAGTGAGAAAGATAGACAGATAAAGTAAGGTGTTTTGTAACAAAAAAGTTAATAAAAAAAAAAGAAGAAAATTAACTATGGATAAAATAAATAAAAGAATTTGGTATCGAGGGAGGAAGAGAAGTGTGAATAACAATCAGAGAGAGGGAGAGAGAGAGTAAGAGTGAGAGAGAAAGATAGTGAGAAAGATAGACAGATAAAGTAAGGTGTTTTGTAACAAAAAAGAAAGTAAAATAAAAAAGAGAGAAGGAAAACTAGTTAAAATAAAAAAAAAATGGCTCGAGGGAGGAAGAGAAAAGAGATCAATCAGAGAGAAAAGAGAGAAAATTTAAATTAAGAGAAAAAATAGTGAGAAAGAATTTGCAGATAAAATCAAGAATTTTTTTTATACAAAAAATAAGAAAAATAAAAGAGAGAAGGGAAAACTAATCAAAAACCTTAAACATCATGGCTAATAGGAAAGAGAAGAAGAGAATTTTGAATAACAATCAGAGAGAGGGACAGAGAGAGTTGAGAAAATATTTACAAATAGTTTCCATAAAATGAACTAAAAAATAAGGTGTTTTGTAACAAAAAATAAAGAAAATAAAAAAAAGAAAGAAGGAAAAACTTTTAAAATAAAAAAAAATTTTTTGAGGAAGAGAAAGAATGAAAAACAGCAAGAAAGACCAAATATCCCAAAAGACTGAAACTTACTAAGCAATAAAGC